TATATTAGGTGTTGGAATTAATTCGTAGCGTTTTTTAATGAAAGAATGTTATTTATTTCACATGAGCATTAAAAAATACATTAATGAAAGTACTTCCCATCACTTGTAAAACGCTACGAATTAATTCCAACACCTAATATATATATAGAGCATCATCAGAATTTATATGCGCTCGATTATTGTTGTTCAATTATAGGTTGTATACATTGGTCCACTTTTGGAACGCGCTTTTATTGATAAAAACGCACTTTTATATGAATTTTTATAATATACGTAACGTTAACTATATAATAAAAACGTATTAGAAATACAGTCTTTTACGTTTTTATTCAATATTTATATGTCAGTTTGAAAACTTAATAAGTTTTTACATGTATCTGTATCCGATTAGATTAAATTATTCACTTAGATTCTTTAATCAATATACATTACTCAATATACATTACTCCATGTTTGTCAAATATGTAGTCAGTTTAGTACGGCTACCCCGAACGATTTGTGGAGCGCCATGCAAAGTGCTCTAGACGAATCTGATATCCCGCACGAAAACTACACAATAAAAAAAGTGATGGATACTTGGATGAATCATAAGCGTTATCCTGTTGTACATGTGGAGCGAAATTACGGAAATATTAATTAATATATATATAAACTGATTTAGAATCTATATATGATATACATACTTTGTGTGATATTAGTATATAATATATTATATTGTGTATAATATATTTCATTAAAAAAAAGTTAAAATGGATATTTGGAAATATATCTTGATAAATTTAAATTTATTAAAAAGATTTAATAATACATACAATAAATAATACAACAGGCTACTATCGTGTTAATTACGATATCAGGAATTGGAAAAAAATTTCACAATACTTAAATACTAATGAGTATGCGAATATACACGTTCTTAATCGTGCTCAAATCATTGCTGATTTACATGCCATGGTAATAGATGATCGAATAGATGGTTATTTATATCTTCAATTGATAAACTACCTCAAGCGAGATACAAATGGTGTAGCATGGCAAGCATTGTTAGATATTATACAAACTATGCCGAAGCCTCTCTTACTACCAGAAATGAAACATGTCAAGGTATGACCTTATATCATTTAAGTTATATAAAGTATTATGATGAATCCTAATTTCTGTTCGTATTACACAAATTGATTTATTCTTAAATTTGAATTTTTTTTTAAGAGCCAACATGTAGAAAAGTTATACTATTTGTACGTAATATATTAGGTGTTGGAATTAATTCGTAGCGTTTTACAAGAGATGGGAAGTACTTTCATTAATGTATTTTTTAATGCTCATGTGAAATAAATAACATTCTTTCATTATAAAACGCTACGAATTAATTCCAACACCTAATATAATTAAAGCAGATTTTTTTTTAATACATAAAAATGACATTCTCATATAGCAATAACAAAACATTCACATATAGCAATTATAATATTAAAAAAATAAAAATAAAAATATAGTAAAAAACGAACAATATAAAGTATTAAATATACAATTATAAAGAGCTGCAACAATCATTTCATGTATTTGTGAGCACATAATATAGATTCCAATTAACATATTAAATTAGCCTAGCAAATTATGTATATCTTATCGTTTACGTCATAATGAAACCACTATCACAAGTACATAAAGATACAATATGGCGCAATTAAAAATATAACATAATCTGTAATACAAACTATATTATCATGTGTTGATTATGTATTTGATAAGTATCAATAAATCATGTAGGCAGAAATTATTTTCAAGTAACTACTCAATGTTATCGTGAAGGTATCAAGTTGCCAACAAATGAGGACTCAGTTGCTGCAATTCTAGTAGCAACTTATACTTATTTACTTAGCAATACATACTTAGCAAGCAACATGCCAACAACAAGATAAATACGTTGCTACCTGGATGGCTAATGTACGCCAAATTAGCAAATATTACAAACACACACACACACACACACACACACACACACACACACACACATGACATGACATGCATATTTATCAATATAAATATTCGCCAATATTTAACAAATGTGCGTAAAGTTGTACATTGGCCATGTCTGGGGTGGTATCTCAAACCGAATACATTACTTTATGATTTCTAGAAAAGCTATGAACAACTCCTCCATAAGTTTCTTCGGCACATAAAATACACAGGAAATAGTAATGATGACGATGTCACAAAATTGACAAGGTTAAACGCTTTAAAATGTGCATGTAAGCTTGGTATCAAGAAATGCAAGGAAGTGACCGCGCTTAAATTAAACAGACATCTCATCAATCCCAAAACTTACAAGTAATAAATAATCTTACATTCTTGATTATTTCGTAAATTAAATTTGGTGTGTGCATGCGTACACGTGCATATGAATATATTACAGTCGACTCTCTATTTCTTCAAATTGTCGAGACCAAATATTGGTTTTACACTTTCTATATAAGTCATTCTCCATTCTTATTTAATAATGATATAATGACAGAATAAATATGTACAAGCAAAAATATTATATAAGTACAATGAAATGAGCAAGCTGCACTACTGATATATCTTTCTTCATTTTGTTTCTTTATTGTAGTATTATTATGTGATGACATACAAGTGTTTTATACTACAAAATAGGACAATAGCGCAGAATGAGAATTTAATTTCATAAATTTATGATTGTTTAATAAACACGCAACAAGATTAGAGAACGCGCGCGCGCGTAAAAATACGAAATTTGATAAAATAAAAAATCCGTTACTGTATAAAATATATGTATCCTTTCTTAATAATAAATAAATATTAATATTTTAGAATTCTACGAGGAGAAAAATTTATGTACTGTACTGGTATGATGGCAGCCAATAGGACTACTTGGAATAAAATGTTTGACATATATGTAAGAAGAAAACTAAAAGAGGATACAAAAAGATTATTGATGGGCTTGAGTTGCGCTGAAAATCCTAATATCATCATCAACTATTTAAATATATTAGCATTCAATACTTCATTTTTTGACAATGATGACCATGCTCATGTCTTCAAATTTATTCTTAAGAGGCATTCACGCAACGATAAAATCCTTAAATACATATTAAACAATTTTGAAGCTATAAAACCTAAGTAATAATATTTCTCTTCATAGTTATCTATTATACTGTTTTCTTAATCATAAAAATTTGTTAACATGTTATTTTTTTGTTTTTATAGATCACTTAGTGCACCTGCAGTGATAAAACTTATTCTTAACAATGTTTATTTTTTTAGAGAAATTGACAAGGTAAATTTATAATTCTAAATTCATAGTTATTATATATAGTATTGATCTATTGGCTACCAAAATCGTTTTAGTCCTAAAACCACAAAATCTTGTAGCAATTATTATTGCTACAACGTTGCAAAATTGTTAGAACATTGCAAATGCTACAATATTATTGGAATTTCTTGTTATAAGCTTTAAATAAAAAGACCTTTTACATGAGAAATTATAAATTAATGCAATTTTAGACAATTAAATTAATATTAATAATTAACAGTATTTACATATAAAGGTTATTCATTATATTTTTAAGGAAAATCATATTATAAAATCAAGTGTAAAATCGATGTGTGCTAAATTCATAATATAAACTGAATTCATAAAATATAGACTGAATATTTATAATTCACTAATTAATATTAAACCGTTCAGAAAATAGTTTAAAATAATTTCAAGAAAATCATTCTATTGTGGATTATAATAATTATCATGATTTTTCATTCTCATGGTTTTTCTTAAATAAAAAGGAAAATTTCGAAATAGAAAGGATTTTCTTAAATAAAAGAAAATCCTTTTTTGGCGTAATATATTTCCATTAAAGGATTTAATATTTTTCATATTTGTCATATATCTTAATATTACTTATACTTATTTTATTATATTAAGTTAAAGATAATATAATGCATCAAATTTCTTTCCATAAAAATAAATTACTATTTATTTAGTATCTCGAACTAATCTGTTTCAGGTGGAAAAATTCTCACAAACTAATTTCAAACAACATCCAAAAATTTTGTCTGAAATTAAAAAACTGATAGACAATAGTAGAGAATATCTTTCGACAGCCATACGCGATGTTAAAAGGATGTTTACTTCCACAAATTTCACGAGTTCTTCGCCTAGAGAGAAGTCATACGTATAATAAAAACATAATCTGATGCAAAACTTACATTTGCATATATTAACTTTCTTATAATAAGATTATGTTTATTTATCATATTATATTTGTTCATTTATTATTTTAAATTGTAAATAATTTATTTTTAAACATTTTTAATATTTCTCGATTTTATAATATTTAATATTTTATTAATAGTTTGGGCAAGCTATTGATAAAAATTTTAACACATTTATTTTCTAGATTTTATATATATGTATATAATATTTGTTGTCTTATATTAAATATTTAAACTTTTTATAGCATTTTTATTATAATTATTATTATAGATATTGATTTGGATTATTTAGGATATGAAATGACGTCATTTAATAAAATGCTGGCTGTAATAAAAGACTACATTTAAACAGGAGTTATTATTTCTGTAATCCAATATCTCATATTGTTCATAACTCATATTTCCTTTGTCTCACGCTTTGTATATGTATGTTGATTTATTTTAAATAAATTAATTTTACAAAAAAAAAAGATGCATTTATTCGCAAAAATAATTTCTTAAATAGTGATTTGCATTAGGTGTAATTTTGGAGAGAAATTAAGTTATATATGTATGTACATATTGCATAAATATGTATAATATATATAATCGAGGAAACATAAATATACAGACAAGTAGATAGTCAGATATATAAAAAAGAGAGTATTAAAATTACAAAAATAGAAAAAAGAATGAAGGAAGATATCTTGAGAAACAAAGTAATAAAACTTTATACTTTTAATAATTTTTATTGTATTTATACAATTATCTTAGTACTGTAATGTGTATCACTCAATCTTTTAACTTTTTCATTTTTATTTGAATTTCTTGATGATAAAAATACATACTTATTTATCCAGTTTAATATCAATTATACTAGAATACTATTATATTATATATGGACAAACGATGAATTTATATAAGTATGCAAATATGTGATAAAAATCTTTTTGGTTTGTTCTAAAGATTGTATTATCGTCAAATATTTGAATATTATAGCATCAGACAATATTCAGCATTGCGATCAAAAAATCATACTTTATCTTTTTAATCTAATATTATTAATTATATAAATAAGAATAATAATATTAAGGAGATTATATGTTATAAAATTTCGAAAGAACGCTAATAAAGACATTTTGTTGATATATCAAATTTGATAAATAATAATATCAAACATGAATATTTTATTTTTGCATATCACTCATGACGATTACAAAAATATTATTTCCATTATTTATATTCATAAAGATCAATTTAACAAGATAAGTTTTGTGATCACAGATTTCATGTATTTATAACGGTACTTCATTAAATTTACTTTCTTGTGTATGTCATTTATTTATTATAATTATAATTAAAATTATTTTTATATTTATATAATCTGATACCTTTAATGTGACGATTTTTGTAATATGTACATTTTTGAATTCGCTATTTATTTTTTAGATAAAGGATATCTTAATTGTACGAGAAAAACAAAATCTATATAATCATACAGTATGTTCATTATTTTTTTCTTTTCAATCTGTTAATTAATCATTCACACAATAATTAGGTGCATAATTAAATGTTAGGAAATCTTGGAAAAGTCGAATTCAAGTAACATCTTCTTGACAAATACTTATACATAAAATTTCTATTAAAACTGAGATTGTATATGTATATATATATATATATATACATACACATATATACATATAGAGTTTCCCATATTCAATTGTTTATAATTCAAGGACTCTACGGCCGGTATTCATAATCGGTGCTTATAAGATCGTCTTAAATAATGTCTTAAGAGCTAATACAGCCTCCGATCTGTTTGATTCATGACATCTTAAAATAATAAAAAGAATGATCTTAAATATAAGATCCGACAATAATTTATTAATATCGCCTTATAAGTCTCAACATTTGTTATCGAGAACAAAAATTTATAGTTCAAAATTTAGTAAAGGTCATCTTTATATTGCA